CCCCCCCCCCCCTCCTACCCCGTGCATTGTTTTTGTCTGCTGGTCGTTTCGGTTCGCATCCCCAGCACGTGACACCAGAGGCGCGCGATCTGATTGGCCGGCTGATCCGCAAGAAGCCCTCGGACCGTCTGCCCCTGGAGAGGGTGCCCCAACACCCTTGGATCGTTAAGTTCACCTCCAACTAAGCTAGGCCCTACCGGGGCAGGGTTTGGCGGGTGGGTCCCTTCGGGCACATGCATACTGTATGCATGGGGAAGAGATCCCTTCGGGCACATGCATGCTGCATGCATGGGGGAGAGAACAACGCAGTCATATTCCGGGAAGGGACGTTAGGGTTACCTTCCTTACCTTGTTTTCTTGGGTCCCCTGGGCACGCAGAGAGTATGCTTGGGTGGGTATCGTATCCGACGGTTTGAAACCGTCGAATCTCCGCTAGTCTCGGCGTGGTGTTATTTTGATCTTTTGTCCTCTTGGGAGTTGTGTTCGCACACACCATCGCCTCAACTCCTTACAGTAGGCGTTTTGACGACCAAGCGATAGCAGCCATTGTGGCTCGAATGATACGTTTGATATATTCCCCGGCTGACAGGTGCTACAGTGAGTTGCACGCGGACTACTGTAGCTCCAGTTCTAGTGCTTATGTTTTTTTGAATCCGTCGGAAGTGGATGTCACACGTACGGTAGTCGGAGCGTTGTTTCGCTGTCAAGGGTCAAGTGGGAACATGACCACTACTCGAGTTGAACGTCGATCGAATGCAGCGCCTTGGCAGTGCCAGGTAGCGTTGTCGCTTGTAGTCCCTAACATGAACACCCATATGATACATTTTGGCTTGCCCACACATCATGATTTAGTTCACATGGTGCTGAGATGAACTGAACTATCCTATGAGGGGAAGAGGGACAAACAGGGCGAAGTGTTTTGCGATAAAGAACCCCTGACATGCAGTAAATAGGTGCGGCGAACGTAGGTACAGCAGCAAATTGTGTGTTTGCTTTGCCAGAGGGTTGTCACTAGAGAAACACGAAGGAGCCGCGCCCAGTTGGTCGCCTCTTCTTTGTCCTGCTTTATTTGTATTTTCTTCACCTGGATTGGTTTTGGTCGTACATGGACGGAATGAAATGGAAGGCGGCTGGTTGGTTGTGTTTGGATGCTCAGAATTGATAATAACTGGCTACAACGACAGCAGCAAGTGTTTGCTGTGGGCTTTGTAGAATATTGCGAGGTAGACTACGGGCAGCAGCTGGAAAATGCGTGCAACGAATTTAAGATATGCTACCTCGAGAATTTCTCAAGCAAGTGCAAGTCTCGTGCAAGGATCAAGCCAGGTGTAACATTAGTCTTGCTTGATTGTATCACCCCCGCCTGGTTATCTTCGAAACGATTAGTCTAAACAAAACCCGTCCCGCAGTGCTTTGTTCGGGGTCGGCGACGCAACTCTGTCACGGAATAACATTAGACACTAGTTAACATTAACGTTTGCCGCATCGGGGAAACAGGTAAGATGCTCTTCCTTCAAGCAACTAGGCCAGGTAGTGCCGAAGTCTGCTGTTACCACCTAACACCCACATGACACAAGATTCAACATGTCCAACATCCGAGCGATGCAGTCTACACCTTGTCCTCCTGCGGAGGGAATTTCGGAAGAAAATTGAACAGGCGGAGAGGAATAAAAGAGGGTGAGCTCCTGAGCATTCGACTGTCATAGCGCCAGGCAAGCAGCGCTAGCGACAACCAGCCCACGCTCCTGCCTGTTTCCACACACATACGCACGCGGTGGAGCTTGTAAGGAGGGGGTGCTGTGGCGGGGTGCTCACACTCCAACCACGCGGACCCGCAGATGGGAGTTTGGTGTGTAAATTCCCCGCACGTGGTGCGAGATGGCCGGTTCTGTTGGTTGCACACAACGAACTGGCAAGACAGCAGGCAGAGAGCTGGCCCGGAAGAGACGGAGGAGGGACAAAATCAACTGGTAGAGGTTGCACGGGCTCTGGGTTTGAGGTGTTTTAGTGGCGGCGTTGGAAGGGAGAGAAGCTGACACCATCTTGGCCTCGAATTTCGCTCTTCTTTGGTGAGTTTATGACGGGTGCAGAGATGCCAGGGTGTTTGAGGGCACGCATGTACTCAACATGCGTGGCCTTTCACCACCGATAGCAGTCCGGCAGCCTGACAAGTGTGTTCATAGGCGCATGTACCCCTTCGCACACAACGCGGCTGATAATATTAAGACGAGCTAGGCAGAATTTGGCAGAATTTGGCAGAATTGCAACAACGAGTTAGATCGGGATGTGCAGAATGATGTGAGAAACAAGTTCGCTGTGTACACATTCTTATTTTCTTGATGCCTCGGTAAGGTTTTGCTTAGGCATGACCCATAGCGAGGGGAGGGGTCTTTCTAGCGAGCAGGGCTAGACTCACCCCCAATGGACCGATACCTTCTTGCTGCGGCGCACCCGCCGCGAGGCGTGCGTAGTGGTGAAGTTGGGTCGGCACTAGTGCGTCAGGCACAAAGGTGGNACCCATAGCGAGGGGAGGGGTCTTTCTAGCGAGCAGGGCTAGACTCACCCCCAATGGACCGATACCTTCTTGCTGCGGCGCACCCGCCGCGAGGCGTGCGTAGTGGTGAAGTTGGGTCGGCACTAGTGCGTCAGGCACAAAGGTGGAGATGCGCGGGCCTCCATGGCCGTCGGTGTAGGCAGCAATGCCCATCTCATCTTTGTGCGCGGAGGCAGACGCCATCAGAAAGGTGGACGGGCACTATGTACACGGCCCTAGGTTTGCTCGAGGGAGCTACACTGTCTCAGTAACCTGGTTTTGCCACCAAAGGAGGAAGGGACAGTTGGTGACGAGCTGATTGGGCTGGTTGACCATTCGGCGCGAGATTTTTCAGACCAAGAACCCTTCACTGCAACGAGGGAAAGAGCGAGGAACCGACTGGGAAGGACAGCAACGAGAGCGTGTACGGACGGAGGGGGTCGAGTTCGGTCTTGCTACCGTAGGACTGGCCGCAGCGACACCAGAGCAGCGGCGCCGGAGCAGCGGCACAGGAGCATCGGCACAGGAGCATGCAGACGGCATCGAACGGTGGCGCACGGACAAACATCTCTTGTGTTGTCAATTATTTTCCGTTTTTTTCCTGAATACATGTACTAAAGTTGTTGGGATTGTGTGATGACGTCACTGGTTTTGTAGAGAGACGCGGCAGAGATGGCGCAGATGACCCGGGTGCATGTGCACTTGCATCGTGGAAGACCCCTTTACTGTGCAAGGATTCCTAGTCAGTGTCGATGTTAGCACTGATGTGTCTAACTCAGATGATCTGGATGGATTCGGGTGATTGTCAATTAATTGCAATAATGGGTTTGGTTGTTTGTTCTTCATTGTATGTCCACGGACGCATTCTGACAGCATTTCAGACAGCAGCTACATGCCCCGAGCTTGTGTAACATGCACCATGGTGTTATTGCAGACAGCAATTCAGACAGCAGTACGCTGTAGTCGACAAACATTAATTTTGGTTATGTGCGGGACAAGGGGGGCGGATGCTGCTGCTGTACTCGAATTGTAGTGTGTTGGCGTGTAGTTCAGTTGTGAGCACGCAAACGTGCTGCAGGGATTATAGGTGTACCGCCTCGGGTTTATGTACCCTTTTCTTGCTAAAAGTGTCCGTGTTCTTTAGACCTTCTGATGGCTCTAGCATTTTTGTGACCACGGACCGAGTCTCTGCTAGATTTTTGGGATTGGCAACCGACACGAGTTTAATGTGAAGAAAATAACAACAAACAATACTCCGAGTTATACGCTAGCTGCTTCGAGTGACATATCAGCCACCTGGCCACCAGACGAATGATTCGTCAGGCGGCCCACTCTCTCGCATCATGGACGGTGTGCGGGTTGCGGCCAAGGGCAATACTGTAAATGAGCGCTAGATGATCGATGGCTATCGGGAAGGACTTTCCGGCTCACGCGGTCGTGGCCTAAAATTCTACCGAAGGATGCATGTATGCACAGCAGTATTGACAAGCATGTGTTCCAAGTTATGTTCCCTGCACGCACGATTGTGTGCGGCGTCCCTTTTTCTGTATGATTCCGCTCTCTTATTTATGACAAACGAATTCATCTCTATCCATAGAAATTAGTCTAAGATAGATTAGCAATGAGTCCATAGCGTCAGCGGAGGCTACCTGTATTTCTTACTTGTAGCCTTTTGCTTGCTTCGCGCTCTCTTGTTTGTTGCCCGTCAGTGATTTTGGGAGCCAATCAGATCATAGATGCAACCGGCACGGAACACAACCAAACCTCAAGTTCCTCTTAAAAATCTGCCCCCCAGCCTGGTCCGGTGAGAACCCGGCGTGCNATAATGGTGGTCGAGTAGATCATGTTGTGCGGGGTCGAGAACCCTCACTCCGCGCAAGGGGGATGATCGCACCACGTTGTGTTAAAATGGTCAAGCACCCTCGAGGCAGTTACACAGTGATTACAACTGTCAGGAAGTGAAAGGACCAGAAAGTAAATTCATTCATACGCAAA